TCCAGAGCCCAGTCCACCTGCCAGTGCCTGCACTGACCCTGGGAGCCCACAGGACCTTCCTTTGCAAAGTCTTTAAAATAGAATAAAGGTTATAAAATCCCATCGCTAGACAATCTGAGTCTAGCAGGACTGCATGTGTAAGGGGACTGTTCCCCTTTACTAAAACTCTGTGGGAGTTTTGGGTTTGCCAGCTGGCAGTATCTGAAGGGGAAGGGTCCATGAGACTGATTGACCCCAGAGACAATGGAAAGCAGCCAACACTCCAGCTCAGCCTGATTGACAAGTTGGACAGGCCAGTGAGAAAAGCAAGAGGCCAGGACCCATCCTTCGTGTGAGCTGGGATTGTTCTGGCTCTCTCTCTGAACAAACAAGCTGTGTGCAGAGGAGGTCCTGCAAAGACAGAGAGCTGAAATAGGAGGACAAGCTGTGTGAAGAACAGGTCCTGCAAAGACAGAGAGCTGAAAGAGGAGGACAAGCTGTGTGAAGAAGTCCTGCAAAAACAGGGAGCTGAGAGACTAGCAAAGCAGGCTGTGTGCTGAGGGGCAGTTTTTGCAGCAGCTGAGCCTGACACACACAGCTCAAGAGCGCAGACCCTGTGTTGAGCAGCAGACTGGCAGTGCTGAGAGAGCCAAAAGGAACAGAGAAGCAAGGCAAGAAGCTAGAGACTGGCCAAGCAGCACCCTGCAGCTGGATGTGGTGAGCAGCTGGGAACTGCAAAGTGTGGGGAGAGGCTCTGGACTGGGAGGGGGGTTTGGCCACTTAGAGCTTGAGGCTGTGTGGTCACTGCCAGAGCAAGTGTGTCCAGCCTGCAGCCCATCCAGGGCCTCTAAGGAAGAGACTGTGAACTGTCCTTACACTCTGCAGGCTGCTGTTTTGATGTCCCTGTGCTACAGAGCAGGGCTGTTGGACTGTCCTTATACTCTGCAGGCTGCTGTTTTGATGTCCCTGTGCTACAGAGCAGGGCTGTGTGTTCTCATTTAACCATTCTCATTTTTTTCTTATTCTTTTCTCTTTAATCCGTTGTTGTTTAATAAATTGTATTTGCTTTGAACCTTATGAAGTGATCACTGGGCCAAGAAGGCCTGCAGTGTAAAGAGAGCACCTCGGAGTGGGGACACCCTAACTCCTGCCCCTAGTGACTACAAGGTCAGGGATTAAGCCCCAGGAAACCTGGGCCCAGCCTTGTTGGGGTTTCAAGGGCTCTGCTACTCAGGAGAGTGGAGGGGGAGCCCTCAGGATCAGGGAGCCGTGGGGTAAAGGAAGTGGGAGCGGGGACTCAGATCCTTTCGCTGGTTCATTTCACCGGGGTGTATAGAAGCCAGGAAAGTTCCCCACAATAGCGGGATCATTCCCCCGCTTACACATAGGGCCCCATGCACCCTAGGCATGGCGCTGCTCTCCTAGCACAGCCTGTAGCCCAGCCCTGTCTGCAGCCAGCAGCAAAGGCCCATGCACCCAGCTTGCCAGCACCCACGGGCCTCCCCCCGGAGCACCAACAGGAAGGGCTCATTGCTTGGCCGCTCTGGGTCTTTGCCCCCTGGCAGGCGCTAGCCCATTCCAAGCTTTTCCCCACACCCGGCGGGGGGGGAGGAGAGCGGGGTGCATGTGAGAGACAAGCACCCCGTTTGGCAGGGACAGTTGAGATCCCGCTGGGCATTTGCATGACTTCAGGTGCAGGAGTTGGCGATGCTCCCCCCACCCCCTTTGGGAGCTGGACCCCAGCCCGCAAAGAAACACCCACTGACAACAGCCGGGTTGTCAGTTTCCAGGGACAGCAGGTTCCCTGGGCTGGCCTCAGCGTCTGACAAGTGACGGCAAATCGGATGCTTTCGCGCCCCAGTGCTCACGTGAATGTAACAAAAGCCACCGCCTCAGGTGGCATGTTTCACTAAGGAGAAAGGTGTGTGCACCACCAAAGAGGCCAGAAAGGGAATCATACACCAGGGACATGTACCCAGACTGGGGACCATGTCAGGCAATACCCGTGTGGACTACATTTGCACCCAGCGACTCAGATCTAGGGTGGAATAGGGGGAGGAAAGCAGGTAGAGGGCTCTCTGGGGAATTGTACGTTCTGGAGAGCCTGGGGTGCATGACATGACACCTGAATCTGGGGTCTGCAGAGCCAGGATCCTGGGGACACGCGTCAGGGCAGGGGCACAATGATGGGGGATTTTGCAGCGGCTCCTGAAGGAGGCTCAGAGCTGGGGGAACGCCCAGGCAGGGAGCGAGGAACACTGCAGGTTGCAAGTGAGATCCACCGACAGCCACTCGGGTCAGCCCAGGGATTCACTACCACTCGCTCCAGCCGGGGCTCTCAGCCTCTCTTAGGCCTCAAACCAACTCACCAGATTTACAGTTAAAATAAAACAACAAACGTATCGCAGGCCCAAGAACCACTGCCAAGGACTCAGGCCTTCTGTTACAAAAGTTTATTCAGTATTTGTTGTGGCACCAGCACGAAGGGCCGCTGCCTTCCAAAAAAAAATTAGCAGGTTTCAGCTAAGCAGGAAGGATGTCGGCATTGCCATGAGAACTTCTCCACACAGAACAAACCAGAGCAACGCCCCCGCTCTGATAGGGTGTCAGTCTGGAGAGGAGCAAGTTTAGGAAGCAGAAAGGTGACCAGGATGTTTTTTTTTTTTTTTAGCACGCTTTTTTTTTTTTTTTTTTTTTTCTCTCTCTCTCTCTCTCACACACACACACACACACACACACACACACACACCCGCCCCCGTTAGGCTAAAGCTAATCACTCTCATGCCAGCCCATGGGCTGCAGGCACTCAGTAGTTAAGGCTTATAAAGTGCCCCGTAGATCAGCCCTCCCCCAGCGCTAAGCAGTAGCATTAGGGTGTCACACACATGCCTCGCAGAGGCGGTGAGCCTGAGCCAGGAGAGCAGTGGCTGTTGCATGTGCATGCTTAGAGTGCAGCAGCAGAAGACCAAGCATGTGGCGATGTACCACGGCAGCACATGACAGGTGTGCAATGATAATGTCATCTGCACCTGTCTTGCATGGAATAGTACAGGAGAGGGTGTGCAGCGACTGCCTTACCACACAAATCGAGTGCACGCATGTGGGTGTAAGGAGGGTGGCATGGCACACACATGCCACTCAGCCGCAGTAGCAGGTGTGCAGCAGTGGTGTCATCTACTCTAATCCAGTGAGGGTCATAACACACCCAGCTCCAGCAATAACATGGGAGGTGTGCAGGTGGGTTGTGTATGCCACACACACCTGAGGGTCAGCTGCTTTGAACTGGGTCCTCGAGTGCAATGTCAGCCCTGCATGAGAACTGGGAGGCCGCAACAGACAGTGCTGAAAAACCAGCACCCAAGCAATTGGATCCTCCCCCCACTGCACTCAACGGCAAAGCTCCCACTGACTTGACTTAGCACAGAATCGCACCCAACATGAACAAATCAACTGGATTAGGGTGCAGACTCCCTCCATCTCCTGCGCAACAACAACATTTGCCAGAGCGCGATGCCGCTCCCTCAAGCCTGTCAGGGCCAACGAACCTCCCCCCACCACCTCTCCTAGTAAGTGTCTGATCAGCCCGTCTTCCAGTGCCCCGTTTGTTTGCTGCCGCTACTAAAGATGCTGGCTGTGAAGTTACTAGGTTCGCGTTCCTCTGCCCGGTACACGGTGCCTGCCTCACCAGGTCTCGGCACCTTTATGGAACGGTCAACCTAGCACAGCGGGAGAGAAGTTCAGAGCCAGCTGATTTTCAGTTTCGAAATTCCACGGCCAATCAGATTGTTCCCTTGGGATTAGCTGTCCCAACCACACCCTTCTTAGAGTAAAAGAAGCCCCGTGCAGAATGAGGCATTTGATCCCCTCGGAGCGAGAATATTAGGACACTGCTTTCCTGTCGTGTCCCGCTTTTCTTTTTTAAAGGCAGAGAGACAACGTCCGGGCTGGTGAAGATCTGCCTTTTCAGCGGGCGATGCCCAGCCCTCCGGCTCCGCCTACGTTCCTATAAGCAATGACGTCTCCGGAATGGATCTGGCCAGGTCTGGTCCCATTTCAGAAGGTAAGAGAGCTCAGCGCCCACTGTAGGGCTCTTTGGGTACGTCTAGATTACATGCCTCTGCCGTGAGGCATGTCAAATAGGCCACCCGACATAGTCAATCAACTGCTCCTGCTCCTTGTTTCAAAGGCGTTCCCTGTCGACCGATCCGCGTCTTGACTCGCACGCTGTGCCAACGATCAGCTGAGCCGGCAGAGCGCGGCGGCCATTTTTATATTAATGAAGTCGGGGATATTTAAATCCCCACTTCACTGACTATGTCGGGTAGCCCATTTTACATGCCTCTGTTGGCAGAGGCATGTCATCTAACTGTACCCTTTGTGTCGACAGCTGGACTGCTGCTGCTGCCACAGGTTGGCTTGGAAACATAAGAGTGCGCAATGGTCCACCTAGCCCAGGAGCCTGTGGCCAGCAATGGCCCGTTAGAAGAAATGTGTCCGTCTGCCTGCGTCTCTCCAGGCAAGAGTCTGGGAGCACGTTCCAGGAGGAGGTTTACTGAGCGACCCTCTTCCTTCCAAGTGAAAGTCTAAAAGAACTGTTTTCTCCCCTGAGTTTTATGTTCTAAAATGCCCCGTGCGGGATTAAAAACACCCAAACAAAAACAGCCCCACACTGCACCGCTCAGAGGGCAAAGACTCCTGGGACAGTCTGGGTCTGCTCCAAGGGTGGAGTGCTGCAGCACCCCATTTTGTTTTACACCAGTCAGCTGGCAGGCTAATGGGCCCTGCCATGGTTATTGACTGCGGGGTGGGGGTGGGGGGAGAAGGGCATGTTAAGCAGTATAAAGAATGTGATTTCATTATGTATGCAGGAAAAGAACCAACCGAGACCCCCCCCCCCTTAAGACTGGTGGGTAGTACGGGGATACAACTCCAGGCTAGAGCGGGCACAGGGTTAGGGTCCCGTTGACATCTGCCAACCTTGCCCACCTTGAAGTCCACCGGGCACCGAAGACAAAGGCCTGTGCCCCGCCCGCCTTCCGTGGGCCTCTTCTTGAGAGGGAGAAGGGGGAACAGAGGTGGGAAAGAGGAAGCAGCAGCAAGGCAGAAAACAGCAGGAGGAGGAGAACTGCTCCCGACTCTCTCTACCCGTCGGCAAGGGAAAGGAAACGTGGCGGTCCGCAGTGCGGGGGTGGACCCGGGGTCGGACAGGCTGGCCAGCCTCAGTCCGAGTGGAGGGACAAGGCCATCTTGACACAGGAGAGCTGCTGGGCCCCGTTGCTCATGACCCCCTCGATACGGTAGTCACCGTTCAACACCAACACCGAGCCGTTAGCACATGGTGGCTTCTGCCTCTCCCCAACTGGGTTGAGCCAGCTGCCCCTGCCTCCAGGGACAGGCCCAGGGAGGGGCGAGCCCACCTAGCTTTCGGATACTACCCCCGTCTGCTCCATGCCCTGCACCTCTCATTCAACCTCCCATAAGCAAAGATGAACAAATCAAGCAGGTGTGAATATCCCAACACCGAGCCGTTAGCACATGGTGGCTTCTGCCTCTCCCCAACTGGGTTGAGCCAGCTGCCCCTGCCTCCAGGGACAGGCCCAGGGAGGGGCGAGCCCACCTAGCTTTCGGATACTACCCCCGTCTGCTCCATGCCCTGCACCTCTCATTCAACCTCCCATAAGCAAAGATGAACAAATCAAGCAGGTGTGAATATCCCTAATTATTGGTGATGCATCACTTCCCCACTGGGGCCCTTGGCTTCCCACCCATCCCTAGGGGAACCCTGCAGCCACCATCCAGTGATTTCCGGATCATCCTCTCTGCTTCTCAGCAACCTGCCTGGTGCAAGGACTTCATAGAATCCTAGGGCTGGAAGAGAGCTCAGGAGGTCGTTGAGTCCAGCCCCCTGCCCGAGGCAGGACCAATCCCAACTCAATCAACCCGGCCAGGGCTTTGTCAAGCCGAGACTTAAACACCTCTAGAGATGGAGACTCCACTACTTCCCTAGGGAACCCATCTCAGTGCTTCCCCACCCTCCGAGTGAAATAGTTTTTCCTAATGTCCAGCCTAGACCTCCCCCACTGTAACATCAGCCCCCGTGGGTTTCTGTCTGCATCCCTCTGCATTCCTGGGCCCCATTTCCACTGTCAGGGCCAGCTCGGTACGACCGGACGGTGACTTTCTCCACTCTCCTCCACCCTTGCAGGCAAGTTCCTCCCTGCCCCAGATCTGGGAGAGTCCGGCTGCCGTGGGGGTAACGTGTCCCAGCCATGTTACAAGCAGCCCCCAGGTGGCAGCAGAGATCAAAGCGAGCTGGCACCCAATCAGATCAGTCCAGCCCAGGCGGAGCTAGCGTTGCCTGCTTTCTAATGGCACAAAAGCAAACACTCCGGCCCCGCCCTTCCCTGAGGCCACACCCCTGTCCTGCCCCTTTCCTGAGGCCCCGCCCCCTGCTCACTACATTTCCCCCTGCCTTGGCAGCTCACTCTCCCTCACTGACTGTCTTTCACTGGGCTGGGGCGGGACGTCAGAATGCGGGAGGGGGTGAGGGCTACACTGGTGGGGCGGGCTCATGGCTGGGGCCGGACATGAGGGGTTCAAAGTGCAGGAGGGGGTTCCAGATGGGGGCAGGAGGTTGGGATAGGGACTCAGAGTGCCAGAAGGGGCTCCAGGCTGGGATGCACCATGTGGGAGGCAACTGCAATTGAAAGCAGGGGGGCTGGGGTCGAGAAGGGGGTGAGGGCTCTTGTGCGGGGGATGCAGGCTCTGGAGGGGTCTGGGCTGAGGCAAGGGTTTGGGGTGCAGAAGGGGGTGAGAGCTCTGGCTGGGGGATACAGGCTCTGTGGTGGGGGTGAAGGGCTTGGGGGGCAGAAGGGGGGCAGAGCTCTTGGTGGG